AAGAGTCATGTTTTAGCATCGTTTCCCATCGTTTCCATAATACCCATGGACCCTGCTGGGCCACGCTGACCCCGCTTGGCAGAGCTGTAGGAAGGGTGCCCGGTGCAGGGGGAGACACTGGTGGCAGGGTGGAGGGGGCCGACGTGGCCATCCCTGCCTGCTGCATCCCCGGGCAGGGACACAGCCAGGGATGGTGGTTTGGCAGCAGAGAGGGGCAGGGACACGTGTGTGGAGGATGATGATGATGCTGTGGATGAAGACACTGAGCGAAGGGGATTGCAAGGGCCGTAGGAAACCGGAGGCGTGTGGGAAAGCCACTTCGGCACTATCAATTGATGAAAGCTGTCCTTACCCCTAGCCTAAAGGTTCATCTACGCGGCCAAGAGGCTTTGGGCTGAATCCACATATGTGGTAGGGGAAGACAACAGCAAGGAGGACTTGGGGGTGTGAGTTGTGCACACACGAGCGAGCAGGACGTGCCCCCGGGGGTTGCTAGCTCGTGCCCAAATGTTTTTGGCTGCATCTTTGCTGCTGGGTCCTCTCCCAGCCTCACTGGGGTGTCCTGGTCCCTCTGCCCTGGGGCTCTGCAGTGCCTGGGGCGTTACGGCCTCCAAGCACGGCTCAGTGTTGTGCTGGAGTCTGCTCCCGAGGCTTTGCAGCCTGGAGGAAGGCCAGCTACACCTCTTCTCCCTCAGCTGTAGAAGAAGTTGAATTTAGCATCAGTGTGTGGACCGGGGGCTTGGCCCTTTTCCTTCCAGCCCTCCCGCGCCGGAGCTGGAGATGCTGCCCACCACCGTCTCCACCAGTCTGCGAGTCCTCAGAGAGAGGGCACGGGCAGAGCTGTGCTGCGGGGGCAAGCAGGCACCATCCTTTTCTTACTCCAATCAGTTGTGCCCTTTTCTGTCTTGCTGGGCGGTGGCATTGACATGGCTGAGACCTTTCTCACCTTGGGCTGGGAGCTGTAAACACAGGCGGCACCCAGCACCCCTGCCCCAGCCTGAAAATAGGACGATAGACTACAGGTGGCTGGGAGGAGCAGGGGGATCATGCAGGCGAAGCACTGAGACAGCCCTCAGCATAATAAATAGCAGCACCACACACCACCTGCCCACCCATTATCAGCTGCTTTGTAGGCACCCGAGCAGAAAGGAGTTGGAAGGAGAGGTTTGAAAAGGGACGCGGAGAGACTCCAGGCTGCATTAGAGAGAGTTTCTCCCACGTAGAGGGACGAGGCGAGAGAAAACATGAAAGCATTGGTAGGAAAATCTAGGAAAAAAAAAAGTCTACGAGTGCTGCCTGGGGGTTCAGCTGAAGCCTCCCAGCAGCTTCGAGGGCTTGCTAACATTTTTTTCCCCGCAGTTTGCAAGCATGGTAAGCGAAGCATCAAGGGTTTAGGTGCTCAGGGGGACCAAGCAGGCGGCTTTCTTCCTCTTTCCAGCTAGGAAAGGAAGGAGATGGCTGGGCTTGAGGACTTCCTCCGTGCGGGGTTTGCTCTGCAGGGTCCGGGGAGAGGGAGGAAGATGAAGGAGGTGGGAGGAGAAGTGGCGTCTCTCCTCCTGAACAGAAACCAGGTTCCCAGTGACTGCAGTGGTTTTGCACCTTAATTGTTTCCTTTGGCTCTGCTACTGGGAACGGTTGTGTCCTTAAAGTTGTTAAAAGGGCAAAAGAGAGAGGAAAAGCAATCCTGACATCCTGTCCGTTGGGTCCAGATGTAGCTCGCAGAGTACAAATTAGCAGAATGGAATTGCTTAAAAAGAAATTTAATGAGATCGGTATGCAGGCATCTGGTTCCTATCAATCATCATTTTGTGTGATATGCAATGGTAAATATCATCTTTTTAATGACTCTGATGAAGGAAAAGAGCCCAAACCATGCACACACATAACCAACAAAATTCCAGAGCCTGAGATGTTTGAACTCTCGAAAAATATTCTGTAGATGGAAAAACTCCAACTGACACCTCTTCTAATTTGCTATTGTTTGAGTTATTTTATTTCTTCCTTTTTTTTTTTTCTTCCTTTCCTCTGGTTATATTTAACCTTTGTGTTAAATTAATCTTCTCTGTTTATTAACAACTACCACTGAGTGAGCCTCCTCCCCTCTCTTTCTTGGTTTGACAACTCAAATATTTGCTCCAGGCCAGAAGTTCTTGCCGCAGGCGCCTGCCTTTCTCCAGCCCTGCAGAGAGGCACTGGCCGAGGAGAGAGGGCTGCAGGTCTCTGGCCGGCCGCGGGTTTGCTTTCCAACTTGAAGCGAAGATGGTTTGGGCTCCCCTGTTTCAGTTCTCCATCGGTGAAAGCAAGCAGACAGCACATGGGGGTTGAGCACGTGAGCCAGGGGTTTGCTGGTTCTACATCCCTCCAGCACCACTGCCGTCACGCTTGCAGGTCCTTTAGGAAAGCTGCTGGGCTCAGCTCCCACGGGGGCATCACCTGGAGGGTCTGCAAAGTGGGAAAGGTTGGAAACCAAATATTTGGATCCTTCACTGGCCCGATCTCACCCAGGTTGGGGACTTTTTGGGGTTTAATCAATCTTTGCTCCTGGCATAGCCAGCTGAAAGGGCAGGGAGGTGGAGGTGATGCCGTGGGAGAGGCACGAAGCCTCTGCTCCTGCTCCTGAAGGGCATCGGCCCCAGCAGCTCCTTTTGGTCCTTCTCTTGGGGGGGGCGGTTCCTGGTGAGCAGGGGTGGGTCCCCCCTTGCTGTACCCCTTCTGCTGAAAGAGCCTGGCTCAGACCAGGAATTTTTCTCAGCTCATTCCCTGGGTCTTCACCACATCATGCCCTTGAGCTGAGATCAAATAGGGCTTTTCAGGGAACTTCCGATGGTTTGGGATTCAGAGGCTTAGGCATGCATTTCCCGGCTGGCAGCCTGCATCCCCTGCGTTGGGGTAGTCTGTGGGCAGCAGGTCCCGCTTCCAGCAGCACCCAGGGGTACGCCTGCCAGAGCTGGAGGGGGAAAAGATCCGCTGGCAGGGATGGCAAAACCCTTAGCTCCAACCTTGGCGGGTGTTAGCTGTCAATAGCTGGAGGGCATTGATCTCAATGGCCGGCTGGAGCTGTGGGCTCGGGGGCTGCAGCAGCTTGCCCAGAGGTGGGGAGGGATGGGGCAGGGGGGGGAGAAGGATGCTGGGGCCGGATGGAAAAAATGGTCCTATTAAAACAGAGAAGAACATCTGTCCTTCTGTTGGGAAATGCTTGGGGCAGAAGTCTTGAATCCTGGGAACGGTGCTATCTGTGTGGCCCTAGCCGGCTCTGTCCCCCGTCCAGGGGACCAGTGACCATCCCCGGCCGCCTCTCCAACAGCTCTGAGCTTAAGGGTGTGGACTGAGCATCTCTGTGGTGACAGGAGCTGGAGACAGCTAGGCCTGGAAATGATTTCTCCTGACAGGGACCAGATGTGTCAGGAGGAGCTTTGCCGGGTGGAGGCTGCACAATAACATGAGTTTTGTCACAGGTCCCCTCCAGGTTTTAAAAGCAACACCTTATCTCCCCCTTTCCACCTTCCTTCCTCCCCCACCCTTTCCGCCACACACTCTTCACACCTCCAAAACCTATTTTGGGCCATCTGATGAATCCCAGATGCCTCGGGGAAGCAACAGAAGTGGCGGTACACTCCAGGCGCTGCTTCACACCGATTCCTTGGCAATGCCCCCAAGCTTTTGCAAGCCAGCGGAGCGCGGGAAGGAAGGGAGGGGGGAAAAGGAGGATAATGAAGTGGTAAATGATCCTGGTCGTCAATATTGTGATTACTCGTGGAGTGGTGAGTGGGGAAGAGGATCCCACCTGGTCCTGGAGGGAGGTAGGGATGATTGGGAAAAGGGGTGGGATGGGTTCACGTGGTTTGGGATGGTCCTTGGGGAGGGGGTTACAGCAGGCTAGGAGAGGGGAGGAGGCAGCCAAGTGTCTGTCTGGAGCTGGGGACAAAGGGGATGATGGGGGACAGCCCTGGGAGCCATCTGCCACCTCCTGAGCATCCTTCGCTGGCTCCGGTCCAGGCGAAGGGGGGCCCAGGAGGAGGCAGGGAGAGCCTGGTCAGAGGGAGGGAGCTGGGTGAAAGGGGGGAGCAAACGCTGCTGCTGCTGCTGTTCTCTCCTGTGTAAATTGAGTGGAAGGGGGTGATCAGCACAACTCAGGTGTCAGCCCCCACTGCCGAGAGCGACCGGCTGTGGTGCTGGCATCGATGGTGCTGGTACTGTTGGCCCCAGACCTGCACCTCATCACCTCATGCCCTTCAAACCTCCCACAGCCCTGCAACTCCCCAGGGAGCTCAGCATGTCAGCTGCAACCGCAGCTTCATTTGCTTCAGCTGCATTTCATTGGGGTTGATTTAATCCAGCAGAAAAGAAGGTCCTCAGCTCTCTTTTTCCCTGCCAGAGGGGCAGGCTGGGTGTTTGGGGCATCCTTGTGCTGGCAGAAGTGGCTCCTGGCATAGATGAGCAGTGACATGAGCTCAGGGCTGAGATCTTGCTGGAGGCTCTGGTGGGGCTGATCTGTGAAAGTCAGGGGCATCCTGGGCAGGGGGAGACTATTTTGGGTGGCAATGCAGGATTAAAGCCCACGGGGCCAGGAAGCTGCTGTGGGCCTGGGGAAGAGGGGCAGGGAGAGGCTGGCTGGGATAAAGAGAGGTTTTCATGCTCATCTCCAGCTCTCTGAGACAGGACACGATGCTTTGATGTATGTGGGTGTGTATACAGCATCTGGCATGCCTGGGCAGAGTCTCTGGGTATCAAGAACTCGGTCTTGCCTCTGCTTTGTAGATGAATATCCAACTGCGATGCCCTTGTAGCAGATAGGGAAGGCTGGGGAGAAAGGCATTAACCTGCTGATTTTTAGGCAGCTGAATGCTACAGCTCCCAGGGAATTCAAAGAGAAAACCAGCCCTGGCTGTGTTAGATGCAAGGGGGTGGTTTCCAGCATCTCCACCGCTCTGTGCTTTGTTTTAACCTCTCAGCCTCTTCTCACCCTCCTGATGGTTTTTTGTGTCTATTCTTTCTTGAAGGTTTTTTGTCAACTTCCCATCGGCCAAGCAGTACTTCAGCCAGTTCAAGCACATGGAGGACCCGCTGGAGATGGAGAGGAGCTTGCAACTGCGTAAGCACGCTCGGCGGGTCATGGGTGCCATTAACACTGTGGTGGAGAACATCAATGACTCTGAAAAGGTCTCCTCTGTTCTGGCGCTGGTGGGCAAGGCCCATGCCCTCAAGCACAAAGTGGAGCCCATCTACTTTAAGGTAAAGGATGGGAGCAAAAAAAATATCTCTGGGATGCTTTAGAAATTAGGAAGAGGGCAGGAGAGAGGGAGCTGTGGCGAGGTGGTGCTGCCTGTCCCTACCCAGAGGAGGTTGGCTGGTTGTGGGGGTTGCTCCCTACGTGGCTGCAGTGTCTCGCTGCGATGCTGTCCCGTGCAGACCACCATTCCCAAACACAGCCAACGTACCTCACCCTGCCCAGGGAAACCTTTCTGCCTGCGTCCTGCCTGCAGCCCCTCCGGCATGGTTGTGGCTGTATGTCCCTTCTTTTAGAAATCAAGCATGATAAAAAGGATTAAATCTGAGGTGCCCAAATTAGGAAGATGCTTGAACCTGCAAGCAGCACCCCATCATGCCCAGGTCTCAGCCTCCCTGCTGCCCAGGCAGGCTGGTTACCTGCCCTGTCTGTTCCCTGGGGTGTCGACAGACCTCCCGAACATCTGTCTGTCCCGCAGAGGGTTGTCATTCCCAGAACTCAGCCACAGGATTCAATTGTTGTTGGTTTTTTTGTTAAGGAAAAAGCTAAATTTGCTGTTAGCCGCTCCCTGGAGAGTTATTAACCCCTCACTGTCCGCCTTTCTCCAGAAACTCACTGGTGTCATGCTGGAGGTCATTGCTGAAGAATACGCCAACGACTTCACCCCCGAGGCGCACGGCGCCTGGACCAAGATGAAGACCCTCATCTACACCCACGTGACGGCGGCGTACAAGGAGGTGGGCTGGGCGCAGTACCCCACCGCCACCCTGTGAGCGGCCAGCGGGGCCGGGCGAGGGGCAGGGAGGGCTTCGCTCACCCCAGGACTTCACTCTGGTCTCTTCTAAAGATCTTCGTTCAGTCTGGGGAGCCCGGTAGGGCCAGCTCTGTTAGCTGCCAAGTCACAATTTGATCTCCATGGGGTTTAAAAACAAACTAAATAAGCCAAAAAAATAGAACCACGAAGGGTGTGGGTGGGTCGGGGTGAAGCAGTTGCAGGGGACACTGGAAGGGGATGCAGAGCGCGAGGGGAGAGCATTGGTTGTTGGCTCCATCTTACTGTCCTGGCCTGTCCATCACCACCTCCCAAATCCTGCACCTCGCTTGCGCCATCTCAGTCCCTTGCACAAGCTCTGCTGCGCGGCAGTGACGTGCAGCCCCATTCGCTGACGGACGACACAACCACCTTTGTTTTCCATGCAAAGCCCCTGGGTAAACCTGGCTCCTTGCTTTTTGGGGCGCAATGCTTATGGGGACCGCCGGCTGCCCGGCTGGCACCAAAAACGCTTTGCTTTGCACTTTCTCTGCTCGCCTGGCAAGGTGGCGGGGCTGATGGCTGCAGCCAGAGCCGCTCTCGGCTGTCCATCACCCTGCACCGCAGGCCGGCAGCAGCCCTCGCCTCCCCCCGTCATCCACAGTCCCCCTCCTTGGCTGGCTGTTGCAAACCCTCTGGGGGCTGGAGGGAGCGAGGGGGTGGGAGAGATGTGCTCCCCCAGCGTGAGAGAGTGGGGGAAGGAGGGGGATGCCTTTGGGCTGTCTCCCCTCGTGGCTCAGAGCACGGTGCGTAGGTGGGATCCCTGTGCCAGATGCAGGGAGCTCGTGAGCCCACCCGCCTCCCTTCAGCTCCCGTGGGCAACAGGGACGTGTATGAGGATGGCCTCGGGTGGCACACGTTGTGCCATTGCCCTGGGAGCTGGCCTGTGTAGGTCTGTCTGTCTGGCAGCCAGCAGCAAGGCAGTGCAGGGACACAGGGCTGGGGCGGCTCTGCCCCGCTCGGTGAGAAGGGGGGTTCGGGCTGTGATCAGGAGGGGGAAAGATGAAGTGGACATAGCAGGAGGGATTCCTGGGTGTGAAGAAAGGTCCCTGCTCTGTTAAAATTAATAAATAACTTGTTACATAGAGCGTATTCCTGCCCTCTTGGTGAAACTGGGTTCCTTCAAATAAAGTGCCTGGTAGAAATCAACCCATGCAGGAGCTGCATCCCTCCCTGGGGGCCAGCAGTGCTCCTGCCCGTGCCTGGCAAAGGGCTCTCCCCCACCCAGCCCCAAAACAAGACGTGGCTGCAGGGCTCACAGCACTCATCCTGCCTCCAACACTGACTCCTCCTGAAGCTGTGGGTGAGTCTGCTTGGTTTCTGCCTCAGTTTCCCCTTTGGTTACAAAACAGGGAGGAGCAGCCCCGTTGCCTCCTGCACACATGTGCTCTGCTTGATAGGATGCTCTGCGGGCTGATGGGTGAAAGTTTGGGGATGAAGCATCAGATGTGCTAGGAAGCTTTGGCATCCTTGCCACCCAGTATTTCCCAAAATGTCTCTGTTATTTTTAAAGCTCTAATGCTAAAGGCAATGTTACCTATTGAAGTGTGTGTGGGGGGGTGTCCCTTCTAAGATTTCCTCTGGCTTCATTCCACTACCGCCCTCGAGAGCTTTCAGCTTTCTGGGAGAGACCAGCTCCTCTCCTGGATGTCGGCTTGACAGGCAGCGAGCCCACGGTCCCTGGCTGGGATCCCCGCGGCTGCCCTGGGGGCATCCCCTCCCCGCCGTGGGGACGCTGCTGGAGGGGACAGCAGTAACTCTCCCCGGGGCTGACCTCCCTCCGCTGGAGCAGCCAGCCAGAAACTCCTGCTTTGCTCACCCGCAGCCAGTTCATCTGTGCTTTTAAACATCCCCAGGGAATACTTTTTTTTTTCCCCTTGTTTCTGGTGTTTTGCTTCCCTGCCAAGGGGTTCCTCTGCCCCCCAGCCCTGGTGTCGGGGGGGGGTGTGGGGTGGCCAGCACCGGGTGCCCGCTCCCAGAAAAGGTCTCGGTGGGGTTTTCCCCCTTCCTCTGCTTGCTGTAGCAGCAGGTTTCTGCTCAGGATCCGTGGGAGCCTGTATGGAGGGGCAAACCTCAGGCCCCAGCCCTGCTCCTTCCATCGCTCATGCCATGATGCTGGCACAGCCCATGCCTGGGCAGCGACCCCGGGGACCACTGCTCAAAGCAGCAGTGGGGGGAGATGTCTTCTCCTGTTCCTCCGGGCTCGCCTGGTGTCGTGGCTCTGTGCAAAGGGGGATGTGAGGGGGCTCTAAACCTCTTGGATGCATTCCCCAGTGCTCCTTCGCCTTCCTGCAGAGTCCTGGGACCAGAGTTAGTCCCAAAATAGCCCTGGGACTCCACTAATGCCACTACAGCCGCTCTCTCTGGCCTTGCAGTTCTTTCCTCCCTATGTCCCACAGTAAAACAGGTGGAAAGGAGAGATGGAGCCAGGAGCGATGGCACGTCCTGGGCATACACAGAGGCTTGGGTGGAAACAACCGCTCAGGGCATGGCTGTCCTTGGCATGGCAGAATGCAAGGTCAAGGGGTTTATAAAAAAAAAAACAAAAAACAAACCCTTATAAAAGGAAGGGACAGGCACAGGGTGATAAGTGATGCTGCTTTGCTGATGGGGTGGGCTGTCATTTAGGGTCAGCACCCCCAAAATTCAGCCCACCAGCCTGCACCCATAAAAGTGCCAGCAGCTGATGCCTCTGGCTCAGGTCCGAATGTCAAAGCAGCTGCTCATCCCTTGCACAGTCGGCAGAGGCATCTTTCAAAAGGCAGCTGCTGGCCAGGGTCAGGATTAGGCCCGTGCAGATGGGACAAGACCTGTTCAGTCATTGACTTTGCTCCAGTGCAAGACGGGAGAGCGATCGCTTGGAGCAAGACTGTTAGATATTTTTTTTTTTTGGGTGCATCATGGGACTCTCACGAGCGCAGCTCCACCAATTTCTGCCAAAACCTCGGGGCCAACAGCGCATATTTTTGATGAGTTCATGTACTCCCCGTGCTCTGTGGATGCTGGGCCAGGGATGTTTCCGTACAGGGATGTTTCATCTTTAGACAAAGTTCACGCATTAACCTTTGAGGTTAATATTCTCCAGGTGGGAATTTTATTTTTCAGTGCAAACCCTTCCTCTCCCTTCCCACAACCAAAACTGGGCTCAGTTGCGATCAGCAGGGAAGTGATTTTGGGGTGGCTGGAAGGTGCCTGTGTTCATGCCCACCCCCTCCGAGTGCCTTGGCTTTGGGGGAGCAGCAGTGAGGTCCCTCCACCTCACCTTTGAACGGGGCTTGGTTTCTTTTCTTTTTTTTTTTTCTTTTGCATCCTTAGAAAAAACTGACCCATGACCTCATGTGCCCACGCATGTGTGTTGGGCTTGGGGTTTTTTCCAGGCACATTTTTCTAAAGCAAATCCAGATGCGTGCAGCTGCTGTCCCTCGAGGAGCCCTGCCACCAGCCAAACTGCAGGCCAGTCGAATATATGCTAACAAAAACATGTTTATTTTTACCAGCTCTGTAGGAAGTAAGATGAAGCGGGGAGGGTGGCCGGGGTAGAGCTAGCGAGGGGAAGAGACGGAGATGAAGCGAACGCCCCCTCTTCGCCGCCCGCAGCAGAGCAGGCATTGCTTAAATCAGGGAAAATTCTCATCTGGGGAGAGATGAAAATGAACAGAAAAAGGAAAAAAATACCATTCCAGAGTGACAGGGCTGATAAATGCCGTGTGGAAGAGCAGAAAGGGAGGACGGGTCTTGGCTCTGAGCATGGCTCTCCGGCGCACACGCATGCACACGCCTGCACAGCTGCTCTCTGTTACCTCCAGCCCTGTCGTGTCGCTCCCCCCGAACCCATCGCAGCCGGCTGGGGACCCCCTTGTCCCCCCCTTCCCTTCAGGCCCTGCTCACTGGGGCACGACATTTCACCTCTCAACATGCTTGGGTTGAGATAAGGGTGCTGCCTATGCGTGCTTTGGGCTTAGCTTCGCTCTCCTTGGTGGTGCCAGGTAGGGACCGACTTGCAAAGTCATCCCCCCAGACTTCATGGGCGAGAAGCTGGGGGCTCAGGGCATATGCTGGGGACCAGCCAGTCTCTCCTCTTCCCTGGGGGTGGCCCCCATGTCCCCCTGCCCCATTTGCCTTCCCCAGGGATGCTGCCGGACTGCTCCTGCTCGCTCTGCTCCTCTCTGATGCCTGTGCCGTTGTGGCTGGGCC